TTTGTTTCTTTTTTTTTCTCGATACAAATCGTTTATATCTGATCTTTCCTACCATTACCACTAATAATACTGTTACTAAGATAGATACTGGAGTGATAAATTTAACATAAATCTAACCCATTTACTCAAAATCAACTATCAGAAATGTATTATTCTTTAAATATTTAAGGAATGTATTATATAAATAAGAATGTAGGACCGTTTATATCAGTAGAGTAAAGATAACAGTCCATATATTGACCTTCTTTTATGTCGTTGTGTTAAACAAAAGTGCCATTTGTATTGTATTTAGAAATAAAATATTAATAATGTTTAGTTTGATCATAGAAAGTACAGATATGTATAAGTTTGGAATTGTATATGAGTGCATGTGTTTGTTTTAACTTGTGGATTTGTGCCCCTATCAATGTATGACGTAATGATACCGCCAATTAGAGAACAGTGAATTATCAACTGGACCAATGTTGCATAAAACCTGTACGAGCAGTCTAGAGACCTTAGCGATCCTGCTTCCCACCTAACTCTGCCTATTAAGTCCAGAATACAAATCTCAACCTCCACGATATGAATCATTTATTTCAAACATACTGGGTTTATATACCAACCAGACAGAATACATCGTACCAATAAAATAGGAAACAACATTTGTACAAGATTTAACCAAATGTAGCTGTGAATAAGTCATTGATAGACTGGGAATAACTCAAGAATGGTAAGTTGTATTATACTTGTCTACAGGTCAAAATGGAGCTCATAATAAGAGGGATACGAATATGAATAGTCGAGTTACTTAACAATTATACGATAAAAAAATATACGTATAGTATTGGTTTATAAATGGTTCCCAAAAGTTACCATTCATTATTCTCATCAGGATATAACAGTGTTGGTTGTATCATTGAGATAAACACAAAGTGATAGAATGATTGTTACAAAATGATTAGATTTTAACTATTGAATATATATTATATTGTCATTCGTAAATCTGAATGTTGTCTCTACATATGTGGTCATTTTTGAAGTATGTAGATAAAACTAATTACATAATAACGAATCGGTTACCAATTCAAACCTCTATTCGTTGTATATATATTTGTGTATGTTGTGTATACTTAATAATTAATCTAATACATATCAGTTTATTGGTCATTCAATATTCCATTTTTTTTCTCAGTATGCTCAACAATCAATAAATATCAGTATGATTTAAATGAGTACTGATTTATATACTTTTTAGTTGAAGCATAGTGATATTACTCAACTACCGTAACCACAATAGCTAGTACCTAATGATTTGAATTAGCAAAGCATCGATGACTGGTTGACTATTTGAAACAGAATTTGATCCAATTAATCAGTTATAAGAAACATACATATACATTACTCTAAGTTACTGTATTACATCATTACAACCAAATGAAATTACATATATGAATAACCAAACAATCGAAATAATATAGTTAATCAGAAAGATTAAGAATTGAGGGTTTGGTTTGAAAAGACCGAATAAAAATGTATATATGATGTAATACTGACATAGAAGATGTAGATTAAAGTAACAAGTTAATGGATCTGTACGATTATGATAGATCTTTAGCCATATTATCTGACATTCTGAATCGTTGATTACAGTCTTCCTCCAACGTACTCATACGCTATCCAGTGTAGCACGTGGAGGTAAGCACTATGTAATAGCTATTTACAGCCTCATAAACTAATTTATCGTCTTCGCGTAGTAACCTGTGGCAAACTTCAAAGCTGCTCAACTGATAGTTTTATTATTTACGAACAATGCTTCAAATATACCTGTCATCAGAAACCTATATTTTCTATTTTGCTAATCTGTTTCATAGCCATAGAGTAATACGAAATGAAGTGTTACTCAGTATACTCACTCTTTGTTTGACAAACTGACATATCGCCTACGACTCGAGTAATTCATGTTAGGGAAAGATAAGCTAGTTTTTTGAGATTTTTTTTGTGTTCCACTTTTTATAGAATTCTATTACTAAATACTGGTTCATAGATTAAAAACCCACTAGTTTGATTTCAGTTTGGGTAGCATTCTTGGACTTTATTTAACAGAAATCAAACTCAAAATCTATTACATTAACTTATAATCAGGATGGAACAAGGACAATTACTTTATCAAAATAATATGAATTCGTTTGTCTCTCTCTTGTATCATTTTAATACACTTATCTTGATAATTTGACTTAACTCTCTGTTAAAGTGGATCTATGCAAGTATGTGGCAAATCCTCTGTTTCTTATAGACTGATTACTACTGGATAGTAGAAGCATGTTTAACTATTCTGCCATCTGATCTCTTCCAACTAATAATTTCAATTTTTGTAAAGAATAGAAAACAGTCTATCAAAATAAATTATTGATTATTCCAATCAATATAAAACGTTATAATTCTCTCAACAGTTGACATCATGAGTCAATTGAAGCTAGACCACCACCATGGGAAACTATGGAACCATTAGACGGCCGTTTCGTCCTACTGTGGGACTCCTCAGCAGTGCACATCCACGACCCCATCTTGCGGCATTCGAACCCAAGAGCTATCAGTCTCGCGCTAGAAGCCTCACCAACTAGACCACTGAGGCGGCATCCAACGGTGTTAATGTCTGCCATCAACTAATTCACGAAATTGAGCGACACATCTACCATTGTCATCAATGAGTTACTATCTCACAACTGACCCGGTTGAACTTCACTAGTCACTACTTCTCACTTGAACTCCAGGATATACCTCTTGAAGCCAGTCACTAGTGAGCATATGTTGATTGGTATCACCTATTTTGTCTTCCAATACGAACCAATGAATGTTAATCTCATGATCTGAAATAGAAATATTCTCTTTCATCAAATCTAAAGATCTTTCGATTTGATCTTTATCGAAATTGTGTTTCCTATTCACTTACGTAAATGTTTCCATTCTTAATGATTTTCTATATAAAGTCCACTCGTCACATAAGCCCTATCTACAACATTCTTACTGTTCAATAACTGTATAGCACTCAGTAATTTCGTTCATTTATTGATTCAATGTTGTATATAATACCAAGCAATAAGTTTTCATCTAGTATATTGGTCTGTGCTACACAGACAATATGGAATAACTTTAGCCATGTAAAACTAAATGATTCCTTTATCTTCACTCATCAACTTACATTAATTCACATTTTTTTCTGTAGTTCCATTATGTACTCGTTTTATGACTACCATTTTGTATGTGTATTTATATAAATCTTAGTAATTTTGATCTTTATTATTTGTTAATTGGTGATTCATGGCTTGTTGTCTTTATCTTTCACTATAAAACAATGTACTTTTATTATGTTGACCTTATTCAGTTGTGTGTTTTTTCTCTCTGTCGATTCTCTTTGTCTTCACTTGATTGTTTTCTTTCTCCTCGTTTTTAACCATCATCTAGATGTTCAACTACATTATATGTTAAGATATATTATAGGAGTATATGGAGGGGGTTGATAGATTATAACTTGAATATGATAAATTATGATAGATTTGACATTAAGGTTTCATTTAAAATACTACTAATTAAGTGAAATGTTAAATTAAACATAATTTCAATGGTTAAGATCATGAGTCAGTTGAAGCTAGACCACCATGGAAAACCTGGAAGCACTGGACGGCCGTTTCGTCTTACTGTGGGACTCCTCAGCAGTGCGCATCATGATCTTAACCATTGAAATTACTACAATCTCCACAAAAACCCATCTGATATTAAAGATAATTTATTATCTGTCCGAACTCAACTCTTTTTGTATACAATCCCAGGAGAATAGTAAAGCTAAAAATTTCGGAAGAGATAAATAGGCGAGTGAAGTTGAATTAAGACGTGTAGGTAGGCTCAAACTAATCTGATTAGGGTTCTTGCGATAACTACGATCGGTGTTTGTTGGATCTTTGGGTGATATGGTTGTTGTAGCGTAGATCCCTTTATAGATCTTGAGCTTCATTATCATTCCATTTTTTTTCATTCTTCTAATTTGTCTCTGCTTTTTGAACAAGTAGTGTCTAGTGTTCAGTCTTTCTCATCATCATTAGTACTGGTATTATTTTGACTTGTTTTGTTCTCTACGTGCTAATTTGATATGACAACATAGAGTAAGACATATTACAACTGAGTAGCAGATTAAGTTTAATAAAACTTAAATTAGAAAATTGTAGCGTTTTAGTGGCCTGTGATCTGAATCCATTTGGATCGTACATTGATCGTTATTGAAATGTACATGTCGTCAATCCTCGTATAAAGTTTTCGACTTAACTCGTGTTGGTGAATAACGCAAACAAATAAGTCAGATACGAGGATGATCTTTTGAATACGTATATTTCGTACAATTGTTAATCGACACAAACGATCTAAGAAACGAAGTGAAAAGAAAGCGAAGTAAAATGACGCTCAGTGGAGAGAGCGTGTGAGCCGACTCAACTTAACCGAGCGTGAATCTTTATTTATAGTCAGACGAAAATAAGTTACAGACATGTGATGAGTATGAAAATCAATGTACGCATATACGCTCATATAAAAACAGTCAAAGTTGATAGGCTAAAAATTGCCAAGGTCAAAATGTGATTTCAGAATAATGGATAAACTGGTTTGTCCAGAAGCTAGAATAAGTTTTGTGGACTTAACACAGTAACCGACACTACAGTGTTTTTTTCAACACTTTAAACACATATTCAAGACAGAATAAATCCATGTGCATCATCTTAACTAATTCTTAATGATTTCACCGAACGTCCTTAATCATTGATAGAGCACAGATACTTCGAAAGTCAGACGATGGAAGGATTATCTGTATAAGAATGTTTTGACAAAGTTTCGTGAATTAATTACTATTACTAACAAGTACATTCATTAATAGTTTCACCAGCTACCTACTTTTTATTTTCCAGTTTTTCTACCTAATTATTTATCTATCCGTTCATTATCTCGTTCGAGTTGATCTTTTTTTTCTCTTTTAGAAATGGTCATAAGTATACACATGAAAGTCGTAAACCGCATGCGTGTCATTTCTGTGATAAATCCTATAGTGATTCACGTTCACTTCGACGACATTACGAAAATGCTCATCCCGAAGAGAATGAACGTTGGATGTTATTATGTCAAGCAACAAATGGTGATACAAGTGCCTTATCTATCGCTGCTGCTGCTGCTGCCGCTCTACTTTCCTCATCAGCAGCAGCGGCGGCGGCAGCTGCAGCAGCAGCGACGACAGGGCTTGATGCTGAATCTTCACTATCTCGCGATGGTGGTGGTGGTAATGCTGACGGCAATTCCGATAATGATAACAACGCTTCATCGTTAGCCATATTGAATGCCTTGAGTAATAGTACATCGGCATCATCATCATCTTCAGCTGGCAGTACTGGCGTTGTTTCTTCTGCAAGTGTAAATAAATTAATTGAATTGGGTAATCAAACTGGCCTATCACCTGCTGCATTAGTCGCTTTAGTCGCTTCTACAGGTTCTACATCAGGTCTTTCTTCAAGCTTACAACAATTAGATCGTTCTAATTCATCGACTTGCGTATCTAGTAAGTAACCTAATTGGTGTTCTTATTCTCTATTGCTAATTAAAGTGTCTTTCTTCAATGAAGGGTTATGTTCGTTTTATCATTAATTTATATTTTATTCTTCTTAACACTTTATACTTCAGTAGTTGAGATCATGAGTCAACTGAACCTAGATCACCATGGAAAACCTGAAAGCACTGGATGGCCATTTTGTCCTATTGTGGGACTCCTCAGCTGTGCGCATCCACCAGCCCGCTTACGGTAGTGGAACACAGGACCTATCTTTCTTGCGCTTGAGCGCTTAACCTCTAGACCACCGAGCAGGGCGGCATCAAACGGTGTTAATGTCTACCATCAACTAATCCACGGAATTGAGCGACATATCCACTATTGTCATCAATAAGTTACTATCTCACAACTTTATACTTCATGAAAAAAAGTGTAGTTAGAACATCAAATTGAGACGAAAATATACTTCATTCGAGAGAATGCTAAAGGCAGACATACTAAAACGTGATTTCAACCATTCATAACGCGTCATTAACAATTACACTGTGATACATTTCGGGTGGTACCTTATTATCAGTTTAAGACTGTGTAGTTATTGCCTAACTCGACTTACGATATTTTCTGGTGTAGGAGTAGGATGGAAGAAACCTTAGGTCTACCTAACCGAAACATGTTATCAGTTCACAAAGTGATTGACTGTTGAATTAGGTTTTATTGTTCAGTGAAATCTACCTGAACAGTGTCCTTACGATTATCGTGACCGATGGTGGACGACCATGACTGTTATGGCTGAAAATATGTTGCAAACGTGCAAATGCAGTTATTCTTTTTCTTTCTATTCCACGAACATTCACTCTTCTGAAATTATATTGTTTATTCCTGTTGTTTTCTACAACAACTAATAACTGTTATTACTTCTACTTCTCTGACATCTAAGTATAAGTAAACTGTGTGGAGGACCTTATAAATTTGAGTACCGTACTCGCCAGTCAGTAAAAGTTTGTTGGTTTAGGGCAATTTTTGATTTAGAAAAAGATAAACTTACAAAGTGTAAGGAGTTTTGATTTGTATAATGAATTTTATCATGTGAGTTATTTCTCACACTGAAGGTAAAAGGCTTATGATCAGGGTTTGGGGTTATGAGTTGCGGTAATGAGATAGCTTTGAGTTTTAGGGTTTGGAATTACGACTAAGACTAGGATTTTCTTCACGAACTGACGTAAACGTTCATGCAAAGACTGAGGCTATAAACCATTCTTGCTTCCTAGCCATATGTGTGTAGGTGGATTTCACTCAAATACACATGAGGTAATATCTGCTTGGTTTTTCTTACGAATTTCATGTTATTCCAAGAACTTACGGGCTACCGTTAAAAAGTTCGAAGTACCGTTTTTCACTCTTTTCCTTTGAAATTTAATAAATTCCTTATCGTCATTCTACAGATCGTTTATGTTTGTTCTAACTCTTCTGTCATGCCTTGTCTGTTGTTTTTTTATGCATCTTACAATTTCGCGCTGAAATGCAATAGCCTCTATCTTTCATCTAATTGGCTAACTCACGGTCGTTCTGCAGACGTCTATTTCGATAGTTTCATTTATCTGTAATGATATGGTTTAGCAACTTAAACTGATGTGCATATATTCCATGTCTTATGTCTGACTAAATGACTGACTGTGAAATTATCAGAGACCTAAAAGTTGATATTGGATGGAACAATTTGCTACAGTTTGGATGTATTATTTCTCAATTCCTTATAAATTTATGTTTGATTATTCTTCCATCTGTCCTTCCTTTTTTTTAACTCTATCTCCCTCCTTTTAATATATCACTACAATTGATATGAATATTGTAACTCATTTGTCTTTTATTTTGATGAACGTTTATGAAATATAGGATTTTCCTTCGGTGTACATTAGTGCCTAATATTACATTGTTTATAATCGGTTGATAGCTGACTAACAACTACTGTATTATCAATACCACCGATTTCTTAGATTAACAGACTAATCATAATATTGCCTTATTTTTTTTAATTACTTATTAAATTCTATACACTATTGAATAACCCAATCATTTACTCTGTTTATAAATCAAGTAACAACTCATTCTGAATGATAAAATAAATCTTGCATATTTGTCAGTAAATTACAGCGTAGAAACCATATGATTCCTTTACTGTTATAAATACTAATTACTTCAATTTAGTTGGCAAACTATATGACTTTCAACAATTAAAACTCAAGTTCAAAGTACACTTCATCTATGTCAGTTTAGATAATAGTGGAGTATTACTGTCTCTAGGGAAGAATAGTGTAGCTCAAAGCCGATTTCATAAATCTGTACTTAATCAGTATATGAAATTATCATGTTATTGTTGATTCGTGATCTAGATGATATAGAGAGCTTAGTGATAAGACATCGTCTGATAATAAATCAGTGTTCCATAGTATTTGGTTTTCAAATATGATACGGTTAGATAATTATAGAAATTATTAAAATAGAGGATTGTGGAGATTGTTGGATTTTTTTAGTTTTACATTGATCTTAGTTAGACAACCATTGGAAACTACAATACACCGGATATCTGTTTAATCCATGAATGGATCTTTTCAACGGTGTACACCGGTGCTTAAAATTTAATCTTCTGAGTTTTCAACCGTTGGTTGATAATTGTAACTACAAAATTTAGCAACCCTTCATTAGTCAGTTATACGCAAAGTGGAGTTTGACAGATGGACATCAATTAAAGTTGCTCCACCTCAATAAAATAGGAAGATGAAGTTGTCAAGGCAAATCACTTCATAAAAAGAATTCATCGTTTGTTTTTTAGTGTTTAAATCCGAAGAAAAATCCCCGGAGTTTAGCATGAAACCGTGACCATACTATTTCAATTATATTGAAGGTAAAACAAATTTCATCAATGATTAATGTATAGTAGTTGGAAACTCTCATAAACTGATCGATGTTAGATACCATCGAATGCTAAATCAATTGTCTGAAAGATAAATGCTTGACGTAAGGAATGATGGTTCTGAATTTGATCCATGGAAGTGATATGAAATTCCAAAGTATAATAAAACAAATATCCAGTGTTTGTAGGTTTACAATAATTGTCTAATTCAGTTCATTGTAGCGTTATGGTTATCTTCTAATTCATACAATTAATAGGTTGGTTTTGTTTTTCTTTAATCATTTTTTAAATAATCACTTATTTGTATAGTTGTAGTGATATGAAAGCGTAAAATGTCAAATGAAATTGTTTAGTTAACTTATCAATCTGTTTTATTAATATACAAACACGTATGAATTTGATTCATTAATAAGTTAACATTGTAATGCCAAGTTAATGAACTCTCTCTCTCTCTGTGTGTGTAAGACTAAAAGATTCTGGATTACGGTCCTTGTGTGTTAGGTTATGTATGCACACTTTTGAAAAATCATAAAGCACAACGAAACAGATTAATTGCTCCCAAATGCCCTGGTACGGACGGGAGTGGGAAAGTCAGCTCTCACTGTCGAAATGTTCTCATATGGCCACGTGCATACAGCCACTACCAGGGAAGTCCTACTCACTGCATTCTCGTGGCATTAGTATTGTCTACGAAAATGAGATGGTGAAAAGCGAATGTCCTGTGCCTTAACCGGGCTGATGGACACGAACAGTTCACTTAGGGGAGTTGGAAAACTCTGATTCCAAATCAATGGTACACATGGGCTCCACTATCCTGAGGGAATAAATGGCGTATCATGACACTGCATCTCCTGACGTTGCTCCACTGTCTTATGGATCAGACTTTTAGGTCGAAGGTTCCGGGTGTAGCCTCGTAAGTAAACCGCCTGCTTCGGTCCGGGCACCCAGGCAGTATCATAGCCCGCACAAACCAAGTGACTTGTGTGGCTCATATTTATTCGGTGCCTCTTAGTACCAATATTTATGTGTTGAAATAAATAAATAAATTGTCCCTATCTGTATTTATTCATGTGTGATTGCTTTTCCCCCCTGCTTTTATATCAAACTAGGTAGTGTTAGTAGTAATAGTGTTAGTTTGTGTTAATGTAAATTTAATCTCATATAGATGTGTACATAATTGTTAAGGTAATTACTCAGTAAACAAGTTATTTAATACTCTTTAAGTCTTCATGATGTTTTATCGTACTGATACTTCTCTTATCTTTCCAAAACGAAATCGTTATTAGAAACTTTATTGAAGAATAATCTTTAGAATTTAAATTGTGTACTTTTGTGTACATTCACTCCTTCTTCTTTTGTTTACATGAAGTCAATGTACTATTCTAAATGAAATATTCAAATATGTAGATGGATTTTATAAATGGTCTTTATTTTTTGAGCTCTGTATAATAGTGCTAAATGATTTCAATGGTTAATGAATTTGATAATTCAACACTTTCAATCATTATTCTATTGATTCAATACGTGATTATTGTATATTAGAATGTAATTTTTGTTTGAGTCTTCATTTCAAGCATCTGATATTTTTCCTAGTTGCCTGTTCTAAATATTTCAATTTAGCCTAAACCATTATCCCAGGTTAAAACTAGGAAGGAAGGCCCAGGACAGAGTAGGCTGAAGGATGCTTGTCAGCGGCCTATGTTTCATTTAGAGTAACAGGCGTAAGTATGTATTATCCTAGGTTAAAAACACAAATAGAGGAAAGTTAGGACTTAAAGTTAATTTTCTAGTACTAATTGTACTTTAATATACACAACACTCAATCGATTAACAAATGAAGATATAGCCTAAAGCGCTGAGATGAACACGTCTATTGAACATTGAAAATGTTGCCGATAACGTTCTCCACTTTTATTGTCATTAGTTATGGTCACATAATCTTCAATAAGTTATCAATCCCTGAAATACAAATTAACACAAATACAACGTACTTTGGATTATATGATTTCTATTTGTAACTTATTGAATGAATATATACGTTTTCTATATAAGCCTTCTAATTGTCGATACTCCTTTTTGTTGTATGTACTGTCACAACTTG